GGCAAGGTTTTACAAATCTAATACTTAGAGAAGTTTTTTTTTTCCTTTCCTCATCTTCTACTTTTATTTATTACCAAAATAGAGAAAAAGAGACAGGAGAGAGAGAGAGAGAGAAAGAGAAAGAGAGAAAATTTGCATAGATTGTACATTCAACTCAAAAGAGATTTTTTTTAAAACCATTTCCCTCCCTTCTGGTTTTCTGTTCCTCAAACGAACGTAATTTTTTTTTTTAATTATCAGTGAGGTAGTACCTTTGGTAGCACCCTTCAGCAAAAGAAGACAGACAGACAGACAGACAGAAACGATAAAAACCAGAACAGACTGAAACAAGAGTCGGTCGGCATGGGAAATTGGGGGCATGCCTCCTTTTCTAAGATTGTACCACCATCATGGAAACTACTATCCAAACCATTTGGAGGGGTCTAGTAGTTGTCACTCCCCCCCCCTATTGGCCCCCACTGGCAGCAACTACTTTGCTGGAGAACTTAGCTACTCAATTGCTTCCAATGGCTGGGTTTTGAAAAAAAAAAATGCTTCTGAAACCCAGAGAGAGCAAAGACGGAAAACAATTATTTCTTATTTCATGTGTCCTGCTGTTATCGGATATTTTCCACTTGGCTAAATCTCAATCCTTTGGCTCCCCTTGTGATTGGGGAACGGCAATGAGATCAAAAGAGCTTCTGACTCAAGATTTAGATAGGTCAAAACTTGTGTTGGACCCACAAGAAACCTTAAGGGGCAAATAGCATCTGCCAGTGGGACTCCTGGCTTCTTGACACGGCCTTCACAAACCATCTAGGGCAGGGGTGTCCAAACTTGGCATCTTTTAAGACCCGTGAACTTCAACTCCCAGAATTCCCCAGCCGGCATGAAGTTGAAGTCCACAAGTCTTATAAGGGCCAAAGTTGGATGTCCCTCGTCTAAGGTTATTGGGTTGGCACAATTGATTCCAAAACCCTGGAAGATAGGAAAGCAGAAAGTCAGTGGGACCAAAACTGGGGCCATTAGATGTGGGTCGTCTCTCCCCTGGTTATTGGCCATGCTAGAACTATAGGTCAACTCTCTCTGAAAGTCCGGTTTCCTTTCTCTTTTCAAAGAAAAGCTTGCGTAATTTGCAGAGGATAAGCTGTCTTGACTAGTTGGTGTGTCCTCTGGATATTTAGGTCTGTGGCTTCCCAGCTTGACTGGGAAGGCATATCTGGAAGGCACTGACTGGAGTAGAGCAGACCCATATTGTACAGAAGAGTTTCTTAGATTTCAGGTCTGGAAAGGAATGTATGATCCACACCATCTTTCCGGCGCGTAATCTCACGAGGAACCTTGTGGAAGGCAGGTTCTAGATCAGGGGTCTTCAAACTTGGCCCTTTGATGACTTGTGGACTTCAACTCCCAGAATTCCTCTGCCGGGCATGCTGGCTGAGGAATTCTGGGAGTTGAAGTCCACAAGTCATCAAAGGGTCAAGTTTGAAGACCCCTGTTCTAGATGGTGGTGACATAAGGTGTCTGAAGCAGATCCTTTTCCTGAAAACAGTTCCAATCACATACCCCAACCTCTACACTCTCCAGATAGGTGGGCTTCAGTTCTCAGAATTCTCCAGTCAGCCAGCATTGGTCTAGGACAGGGGTCTTCAAACATGGACCTTTTGGGCACTAGGGACCGGTTCCGTGGAGAGAGGTTTTTCCACGGACCGGAGGTTGCGTGGTTTTGTGTGCTGCCTGCATCCCACGGATGGGGCTTTGCTTGTTCGTGTGGACTGGTTGCTGGCATGCCTGGTACCAGTCCACGGACTGGGGGGTTTGGGGACCCCTGTCCTAGGACACGTCTGGGGACAGATGTGGATGGCTGAATGGACAGATGGGAGATACCACATGGAAGCTCTTTAGGATGGAGATGCCCATATGAAGTGATACATTTGGACGGAGGGCTTCTGATGGGAGAGTTGTTTTCTCACTTGGAGCCACCTGAACCTTGAATAAAATATCTCCCGGTCTTGGCACTCTCCTGAAGGCAAGGAGCAGAACTCCTAAAATCTCTGACTGTACAGGTAGTCCTTGACTTACGACTGTAACTGAGCCCCAAATTTCTGTTGCTAGGTGAAACAGTTGTTTTGCCCCATTTTACAACCTTTCTTGCCACAGTCATTAAACGAACCACTGCAGTTGTTAAGTTAGAACACAGCTGTTGAGTGAATCTGGCTTTGCTTGTCAGAAGGTCCCCCAAAAGGACATCGCGATCATCATCAATACAGGCCAGTTAGCAAGCCTCCAAATTTTGATCACACCACCACAGGGATGCTACGACGGTCATATGAAAAAAAAAACACGGCCGTAAGCCACTTTTTTCAGTTACCGTTGTAACTTTGAAAAGGCGCTAAACAGACTGTTGTAAGTCGAGGACTAACTGCAGGCTTGGAGATGACGTCATTCCGACATTAGGAAGCCTCCCATCTAATGACTGTTGTCAGTATGGGGGGGGGGGCAGAAGCCAAACAAAACCAAAAATCAAGGTAAAGGAAAGGAAAGGGGGAAAAAAAAGACGATTTTCTTTCATTTTAAAGGCCCTCCCTTAACAAAGGCAGCGTTAGTTAGCCAGGAGCTGCGTAAGCAGTGCCCTAACCGTTCGTCCTTGACTAAAAACACAAATAAATACGTAACATCACTGTCTCCTTTCCTTTGTGCCAGTTCAATATTTAATGCTCTGCCTTTACGCCAGCACAGCTGACACTCTCAATTTCAAAAGTCCAAAGCAAACTCTCGTAGCTTTAAACCAAGGGGGGGACAGGGACGGGGACACGGAGAAGCTGGAATTCACCAGTCAGTCTTCCCAATTTCAGGTTCGACTCCGCAGGGCTCACTTTAAAGGGGAAAACCAGATTTATTTTTGCTTTTGTTGTTGCTCCTGGTTATCTTTTCAGCCCTTCTGCTCTTCTTCTCGTGGTCTTGAAATGTGAGCTGGATGTGAAAATAAGGGAAGGGCCCGAAAAGGAGAAAGCCAGCTTTTTCTTAAAACGATAAGATTGGATTCCAGAATCGGGGGATATATCGGTGGATATATATGAACTGAAGATCCAAACTTTACAGAATAAAAAGAGTTGGAAGGGACCTGGGAGGTCTTCTAGTCCAGTCCCTTGCTCAGGTATTGTGTCTCTGCGCAGAAACCTCTGTCCTTCTGGTGTCTGAGTGCAATTTAGGCTAAAGTGATTAAATACAGATCAGTTAGGTCATTTAATTAGGAATAAAATTTGGCTTTTTGCACCTTTGGCCTCTAAAATCTCACCGCTTCCAAAGCTAAAACAGGACGCAGAGGCTGCAAAGAGTTAAAAAAAATAAAAATAAAATAAAATACAAAACTGGATTAAAATGGATGCTCCTTAAAACGCCTTTTCCATTTTTCTCCATTAAATGGAATGCTATGTAAGAGCAGAAGGCAGCTACTGTCTGCTATCAGTTTTCCCATCTGAACTTTTTAAAAAGCAATTTCTCCTTTCTTTATGGGGGCACTGCGCAACAGATCAAGACTAAGCCCTGGTGTTTGTGTGGGTATGTGTGTCTGGGTGTGCCAAAGAGATATTTCTCTCCCGCCTGATCATTATGACTCGTTCTTCCAGTGCACTGCAGAAGGAAGTTGAGTTGGGCTGGTGCCATCTCATCTAGTTTTCCTTTGGCTATGTTCACACAACAGAATTAAACCTGCTTCTTGAATCAACCCCTTTCTAGCTGTTGGCAAAAGATGGAACCACACGCTGACGAAACAGGTTGGATGCCCGCCACCGCTAAGCCAATATTAGCCAAGTTGAAAGCCCACAAGCTTAGCAAGTTATAAGTTGGATTACTTGATCTAACCTGGTCAAGGATGTTGAACCCAGCTCTTTGAGCATAGCCCATGAATAATGATGATTAGAAACGGAGGGGATAGTTATCTGTTGCTGTCGGAGCCACCCCCTTCCCCCTCAAATAGAAGGCAATACTGAGATTTCGGTTGCAACAGTCTAGTGACTAGACAATCTAGTAGTGTCTAGTCTAATTTATACACTAGACACACAAAAATCCCTAGACAAAGGGATTTTTGGGGGGATTTCTGGAAAACTACTTTCCAGCCTGACCTGGGGATGTGCAAAATTCAACACAGGAGTTTTTATATCCTCAAGTGACTTTGTCCTTGGAGCTGACTCCCTAGCTAGCCCTATTTGGAAAACAGACCATCTTGGATGGTAATCTAGAGCAGGGGGTCTCCAGACTTGACCACTTTAAGACTTGTGGACTACAACTCGCAGAATTCCCCAACCAGCTGAGGAATTCTGGGAGTTGAAGTCCACAATCTTAAAGTTGCTAAGGTTGGAGACCCACACACACACACACGCACACACCCCGGTCTAGCGAAGAGAAGTCTTGAGTGATCATTTAGCTCTTCTGGAGGACCAAACCCCGAATCTCTGTAAGCATGAGAGAGTGAAGTTAAGACCACATATTGTACTATCTGTTGATCCAGTACAATCACCTTGCAGGCTTGGCTAGCTGGAGTAATGATGTCAATGCTTGTGGGAGATGTCAAAGGGGGTGGTTTGAAAAATGAGGATCGCTGGGGGGGGGGGGAAGAGCAATTTTCACATTTGTGACTGAGCAGCTCTGCTAAGACTTTCAGGAAACTCTGAAAAAAAAAACCATGTCTGGGATACAACACCTTGGAGACGGAGAAGTAAATTTGTTCTGATTGCAGATGAAAGTATGCTGCCCCTGCCTTTAGAAACACCAGATGTTTCCTACAACTGGTTTCTCCTTTCCTGCCTCTTCCCCGACTTCCACAATCCTTGAGATGGGAAAACTGGTCCGTTAAAAAGGAGGCTGGGATTTTCAGCCCCATCTTGAACATGGATTCGTAGGTTTTCCTAAAGACCCTTCCATCAGTGCACCTGCCCCTTGTACCAACCCCGTCCGAAGAGTACCACGAGAGCCGAACGCTCACATTTCCCTTGGAAAGCCAGCGGAAGGGGCACCGGGTGCTACCTCAAGCGTCCATCCGGTCTCACGGGCCCCAGTTCGGACTTTGGGTCCGGGCTGAGGGAACTCCAGGAGGTCTGGCTGCAGGCCTGCACGACAGGACAGGCAGTTGGGCCTGTAGTACAGACGTCAACCGCTGACCACGTGCTTCCCACCAAACTGTCCACCCAGCTCTCCAGCTTGCTGCCAGTCAACAGGGCATTCTTCTTCAACTGCTCCACCTGGCCAGCGCTGACTGGGATGTTTAGCACAGGGTTGAGCCCTTGGAAGCTCTGCTCCATGTAGGAGTTCTTCGGAGGTCCACCGTGCAGCTTGGTGGCTTCTTCTACAAAGGCAAGAGAGAAATATGTTGGTTAAAAAAATAAAATAAAAATCTAGCTCCAGAATAACGATGCTAAGGAGTCGAAACCAGGTTAGTTCTTGGGTTCATCTCTTGCAGCCGAGAGAGATTTTGATTTAAGACAGGGCTCTCCAAATTTGGCTCGGGCCCTTCAAGTGCCAGCGATGAATTCTGGGAGTTGAAGTCCACAGGTCTTAAAGTTGCCACCTCTGGAGAGCCCGGATTTAAGACACAGAGATCATCTCTAGAAGCAAATTCGCAGAAGGTTCCACCTCTGCTTTGAAAGCCAGGCTATCATCCAGGGAGGGTTGCAGGCCAGGAATGACATCATGGCTTGTCTACAATTCATGCCACGTTGCTTCGTCCCTCTAATAGCCAGCTCCAATTTTCAGGAAAGTCAACATTTCTGCAATCCGCTGCAACTTGCAGAGTCTCGTCTTGCCCAGCCTGTGTGAGCTCTTCCTTTCGAGCCATCTAACTAAAGCTTGATTAAAGTTTCAAACACGGAGCACCCCAATTATTTCAAGGTCATCATCTATTAAATATGTGCTGGGGGGGTTCTCTTCCCCCACCGCTAATGACGGCTTCTGGGATATAATTTGTCAAATCCTGCTTTGCTTGGCCTGAGGATAATCCTTCCCAGTGTGTGTGTGTATGTATGTATGTGTGTGTGTGTGTGTGTGTGTGTGTGTGTGTGTAGTAAAATCAAACAAACACGAACACCAGGATAAAATTAAACTAAAAATCGTTTAATAAAATGCATTTTATTAAATGATTTTTAGTTTAATTTTATCCTGGTGTTCGTGTTTGTTTGATTTTACTATATTGCTTTACCCAGGATTCGAATTTTTAACGAAATCATACATACATACATACATACAAACATACATACATACATACATACATACATCCAAATTTCTTTTTCTGACAAAGAGTTAAAGAATTAAATTGGGAGACTAAGATGGCCATTTCGAGCTCGAAATGGCCATCTTAGTCTCCCAATTTAATTCTTTAACTCTTTGTCAGAAAAAGAAATTTGGATTTAAATGTTTCGCAGTTGCGACTTGAGCCTGCTTAACGCCCCTAGTTGGGGGGCTGCAAGGCAAAAGATATTGTAAAAAGTAAAACTGCAGTATAGCAGTTAAAAATGTCAAGGTGTAATCAATCAGACGGGTCTGTCTGAAAAACTTCCTCTGTGTGTGTGTGTGTGTATATATATATAAAAGGGCACTTATTCTTGCATGCAATTTCCTGTAAATTTTAACTTTGGCACGTAACTCGTCTCTAAGCTTGGGTGGAAGTCCCAAGCCACAAGCTGAGCTGAAGAACTGGAGGCAAATAGTTACCGTCCGCTGAGCTTTTCTGAGCAGCCAAATCCGCTGCATTAATTCCCCCCCCCCAAAAAAGGATCCTGCCGAGAGAAGATCACAAGGGGATCCGCAGGGGGCGGTCGAAAAAGTCAAGATGCGTGACCCACATCGCAAACGAGCCGAACTTCAAACCCACCAACACAGCTACCTTCTTAACCTTTGGATCACACCCTGCAGACACAGCTGGAAGGGCAAAACGAAGAGTTACTCTCTTCTCAGCCGAAGCTAAAACGACCCAGTCCTTTTAAAGATGTGCGGTTATTACAGGGGGAAAAAAAAAAGAAGAGATCTTCCTTTCTGGTTAAGTATATTAAAGGTAAAAGTTTCCCTTTTTCCCAGTTGTGTCTTGACTCTTAAGGCACAGTGCTCATCTCCGTCTGTCAGCTTGCCCGCCAGCTCCAAAGCTGTTCCGTGGCTGGTTTTATCCACCCCGCTCAGCTATCATGTGGTCGGTTTGGGGTATAGTTAAGAGCAGTCGGGAACCCAGCCAGGGTGCTTTGTAAAACCTCGATTGACAGGCTTAGCAACTGACTGGGACCAAAGTCATCTCAGGGGTGATCTGTCCAGGAAGCGAGTGCTGTCGTTAAAAGGGTGGGACAGTTGTCTTCATAAGGGAGATTTAGAGATGGCCAAATTGGAAGGCCAACAGCGTGAAATATCCTTGTCAGAATAACAAGAGTTGGGAGGGACCTTGGAGGTCTTCTAGTCCAACCTCCCCTATACGATTCCAGACAAGTGATTGTCCAATCTCTTCTTGGAATACCTCAAATTGATGGGAGCGCCCACAACTTTCTAGAGGCAAGTTGTTCCACTGTTCCTGACAGTCCCAACTGGCTGTAAGTCAAGGACTACCTATAAAGCTTTGCTTCATTGTTGTGACATGACCTCTCTGGAGATAAATAAAATAAACTGCTGTGACTGTTATTCAAGTCCTTGATGTCAACAGGAAAGAGCTGGAAAAAACCCACCTGCCTTTCCAGTTGAGACAAAGTCAACTGAACTTCTTCTGCAGTGGGTTCAATATTCTGATTTTGCTCCAAATGGTTTCATTTGCTTTCTAATTTTTTTTTGGGGGGGGGGGGGAAATGCTTACCTTGTCGGATGGCTTGCTTGTTCAAAAATGTCAAAGGAGAGACCAAGAATTTGGTTTCTGCCACAGGGACCCAATGATGTAGGATTTTAATCGTCCAGACCCCGGGCCGGAGGGGTAAATTCAGAGGCGGCTTGTAATGTGTGAACTCAGCACTGGAGTCGATCAGGATATCGTAGGTGGCAGCGATGACGTTGATGGGGTCCACCCAGATCACTGTCACGGTGACGTTGGGACCTTTCGCCCACTTCTGCATGCCCACCGGCTCATCCGTTGGGGAAATAAGACCTCCAAAATTGCGGAATATCCTCTCTTTCGCATCCCAATCTGTTCCAACCTAAAAGAACAGGAAGTGATTGTCAAGAGTGAACGTTTGGCAGCTTTTCATCTTGCCATTAGAGTAAAATGTGTGTGTGTGTGGGTGGGGGGGAGAAATGATGCTTTTGACTGGGTTAGTTAGACAAATGAAACCTTCCCAGTTCTTCGCAAGTTTGCTGAGAGAAGGCTGTCTGGAAACCTTTCAAGGACATTCTAGCAGGTGTGAAGAAGATAGCAGATGGCTCTCATAACAAAGAGAATTTGTTCACATGAGATAGGTAGACATCTGGGGGATTTGACCTGGGAATGTCATTGTTGTATGCTATAGTTAGATGCCTTGGGATTTTAGAGTTAGTTTTCCTTCGCTTATATCATGCCATGTATTCAATAAACCAGCAGGGTTTTTCAGAAATGAAAGTAAACCTGGATTTTTATTTGGCTATTTGAGATGAAAGGTTGACATCAAACTCTCAGCCACTGAAAATCTGTGATTTTATCTCTATTGTTAAGGAAGAGGTTGCACATCTGGCATATCTTTCGAGAAACTTTCAGCCTTCATTGATACCTCCAGAACGATAAATGGCTGGGGAATTCTGGGAGTTGAAGTCCACCCATTTTCCAGGCAGGTGTCCAGGTTGAGAAACACTGCATTAGAGTGTAGCATATTGGCTCGATTTGAAAATACCGTGATGGCGATGTTGTTGTTGTTGTTGTCATGGACACTCTCACAAAAATAGCCCCAGGAAGAAACTTACCATGTGGGGTCCTCGGTGCTCTCTGAGCTTGGTTGTTTTCTTGCAGACATTTCATGACTGAACTCGGTAACCTCATTGAGTGCTAGAAGGGTAACAGAGGACAAACCCCATTCCCTTCTACTACTGATGACGTTACCAAGTTGGGTAATGAAACGTCTGCAAAAAAACAAAACAAAACAAAAATAAAAAAACAGCCAAGCTCAGAGAGCACCAAGGACCCCTCATTTCAATCCTGAGCTACATATATTTCCCTTTATTGGAAACTTACCATGTGCCAGATGTTTGCTGGGAAGGCCAATTATTTTAGTTCTTGGTTGATTAGATATCCAACCTCAACAATAATAGTGGTTCCACACACCAAACAAGGGCTACTTGCTCATTCCCCAACTGGTTGTTAGAAAAATTCAAGGCAACACGCAGAGAAATACCTATTTTCTCTACAATAACAACTTTGGGAGATTGTTGGGTTGTCCCAAAGTCACCAGGTAGAGCCCATAAGGGACTCTAGAACCCATCCCTAGACCCACAACTTCACAGCAACGTAGCACTAGTCTAAATAACACATCAATAAATGATTTATTTATAACAGGCAGACAACATACCATTTAAAAAAAGAGCAAATTCTACCCAAATTCATTAAAAGTTGACCAGGGCTAACTATTGATCTGATTTAATCAACATGCATTAGGTGACTTCACCTCTCCTGAATATAAAAGCAAGTGATATTTAAATATCGAATTTTCTAATACCAACTCAAGATTAATAATGCTGTTTCTTCTGGCCTTTTACAATTATTCCAGGAAGGAGCCAAACACTTTTTTTTTTTTTAAATGGCTTCAATATACAATTTCAACCCTTTAAAGCATAATTCCAGAGGGAAAAGGACAAATTTACTAACGCAAGAACTTTCAAGATTGCGTTAAGCGAAATGTTTCATTAAAGATTATGGCTGTTCCTTGAGTTTTTAAAAGATTGCCTTCAGCTTTTGGACCCATGCTTTTTCTTATTTGCAATGTATGAATAATTTCCAGGCTGATATACACCCTAACAATGCCATTTTAATTAATTAGCATCAAGCATTAGATGTTTCTTCTAATGAAGCAGACACTTGAATACGTTTCTATTGTTTCAATTAGCAAATATTAATCAGACAGAAGAAAAAGAACAGGATTTCTTTTTAAATGAAGGAGGGAGGTGAAATAAGATTAACTAGCAATCCAAAAGTAATATCTGGACACAGGTCAAAAAAATCAAGATGGCTGCAAGGGCCACATGATTAAAGCCCTACCATTGCATGATATGGACACCACCCTACATGTACCTGTGTACATTCCTGAATCCTAATCACTGTTAATCCTAGATCCTAGAATTAGATCCGTGGAATATCCTGAATCCTAGATGTACAGGCTGGGGAATTCTGGGAGTTGAAATACACATATCTTACTGTCCTAGATTATTAGATTATTCTAATACATGGTTTCCCAACCTTGGCTATTTTAAATATTTGTGGACTTCAATTCCCAGAATTCCCCAGCAAGCCATGTGTCTCGAAGTCCACGTGTCTTAAAGCTGTCAAGACTGGGAAACCCTGTTCTAAGATCAATTTAATGCATCATATGAATTCATTTTAATATTAATATTAATATGAATCTACGATGAGCCCTTTGGGTCATCTGTAGGGAAAAATGTGTAGAGAATGTGTAATCACAGAATGATGCAGATCTGATTAAAGCCAAAACTTTGATTTTTTTCCAAAACGTAGGGATAGATATTCTCAAATCCACCAGCTCTCATGATGTAAAAAAGATGCTGAGACTCTAGAAAGAGTACAGAGAAGAGCAACAAAGATGATTAGGGGACTGGAGGCTAAAGCATATGAGGAACGGCTGCTGGAATTGGGTATGTCTAGTTTAATGAAGAGAAGGACGAGGGGGGACACGAGAGCAGTGTTCCAGTATCTCAGGGGCTGCCCCAAAGAAGAGGGAGTCAAGCTATTCTCCAAAGCCCCTGAAGGCAGGACAAGAAGCAACGGGTGGAAACTGACCAAGGAGAGAAGCAATCTAGAACTAAGGAGAAAATTCCTGACAGTGAGAACAATTAACCAGTGGAACAACCTGCCTCCAGAAGCGGTGAATGCTCCAACACTGGAAGTTTTTAAGAAGAGACTGGACAGCCATTTGTTGGAAATGGTATAGAGTTTCCTGCCTGAGCAGGGGGTTGGACTAGATGACCTCCAAGCTCCCTTCCAACTTTATCATCATCATCATCATCATCATCATCATCATCATCATCATCATCATCATCATCATCATCATCATCATTATCCTGAAACTTCACTTAGCTGTGTCTTCAGAGCAAAAGTTGGCTTCATTTTAAACCCAAAAAACTTTCTCCTACCCAGTTGTGAGCTTTCTAATTGCAGGGAGTTATTTCTGGCTAGGAAGGCTAATTTTATAACCAAACGTTTCGGAATACGAAGGTCCCTATAATCTTGGGAGGTTATTTTTCCTGCCCCTTCCTGCTCTCTCTTCTTTCCAACGAGCGACAAAGTGCAAAAACGCAACCACCTTTGCAAAAGACGCAAAGGGCCACTTGCAGACAAGGCACAAAAAAGCCTCCAGCGGGATGCTCCAGCCACAAGTTGCAACCTACCATCTCCACGGCCAACACAAATTGCCATTTAGCAAACGTTCAAAGAACGTAAGGTCTGAAGAACAAGAGTGTCTATCCTGCCTCGCTGACCTCAAAACCACAGTGCCTTGGAATGACATGGGCCACCACGGCCAAGGAGAGATGGCTACCAATTTAGATGGTTTCTTTTTAAAAAAAGAAAAGAAAAAAAGAAGATGAGATAAATTCAGAGGACCAGGAACTCAGTGGCTACTAATCTTGATACTATTTTCTGCCTCCTAATCCACGGGGCAACTGTGTTTTAACTACCTTGTTTGTACTTGGGAATTTTTCAAATTCTTCCCCGCTGCTCATTCTGGGAAACGGTTTAGGCTTTGGACAAGAGGATGATTTAATACAAGCAAAAGAAATGTTCTTATTCTACTACGGTGGTTTCTCTAGTATCATTATTACGTGTCAAAATTAATTGCCGGGTTGAGAAGGATCTGTCTCAACTGCAGGCAGCAGCTGCCTGACCTTGGCTGATCTTGGAAAAACTAAGTGGAGACAGGGCTGGTTAGTACTTGGCTGGGAGATATTGAACGGCCGCACCTTAGACTGAGAAATTGAGACTATATCTTGGAAGAAAACTGTAGCTAAGAATTTTCATAGTGATACCAAGAAAACAGCAAGGGGGTATGCAGGAATTTCATCCAAGACTTGAGACTTCAAGGAGACTGTGAAAAGGGACTGAATCAGAAATAACAGGAATAACACGAGTTGGAAGAGACCTTGGAGGTCTTCTAGTCCAGCCCCCTGCTCCAGCAGGAGATCCTATACCATTCCAGACAAGTGGCTGTCCAGTCTCTTCTTAAAATCCTCCAGTGATGGAGCACCCACAACTTACGAAGGCAAGCCGTTCCACTGCTTAATTGTTCTGACTGTCAGGAAGTTTCTCCTTAGTTCTAGGTTGCTTCTCTCCTTGATTAGTTTCCATCCGTTGCTTCTTGTCCTGCCTTCAGGAGCTTTGGACAATAGGTTGACTCCCTCTTCTTTGGGGCAACCCCTGAGATATTGGAAGACTGCTATCATGCCCCCCCCTAGTCCTTCTCTTCATTAAACTAGACATACCCAATTCTTGCAACTGTTCTTCAGTTAGGTTATCAGCGACTCTTAGTCTTAATGTCTGTTTACTACATCTTAAACTGACCCTTAAATACCATCTGTTGGGAAGAACAATGGAAGAAGCTTTCAGCTACAGGTCCATCTTATGAGTCTTTGGTATTCTGGTGAGTGGTTTAAAGAGACCAGGTTAGTCCTTGACTGGGTAATGTGCCCCAAACCAGGATAATTGGCCTCCCCAGCAACCATTAGCAAATGATAAGTCTCTTCTGAGACCATTGTTGTGAGAGTATCCATATCATCATCATCATCATCATCATCATCATCATCGCCGTATTTTCAAGTCAACCCAACATGCTACACCCTACTGCAGATTTTCTTAGCCTGGACACCTGGAATATAGGTGGACTTTTTAATGCCCTTTGCCTCAGGTGGAAGAAAGGATCAATAACCCATAAGATGTGAATCTAAGAATGCACAAGGAGATGGTTTTTTAAAACCGATTTCCAAAGTCAATTCAGATTTCACCCAATCCAGACGTGAAACAAAAGCTTAACGGATTGATGGATTGCTCTTTTCAACCCCGTTCGGAAAAAAAAGGCATCCCCATGACTCAACTTAGCAGCTGTTATTTTGAGAGAAAAAGAAAAACCATACACGTTGAAATGTGTATTTTGGGATCGACTGTGATTAGAAATGTACATATTTTTTGTGGGTGTGGATAAATGAAAGAACAAATGAGATAGACTAGCCTCATGAGGAATATGTGATCTTTCATTAAATTACAAGTAACTGGGAAATTGGAATTTGAGTATATGGAATGAAGCTGTTCCGCAAGATACATACATATAAATACTGTACAAATCTACAAAATGTTCTCTTTCTAAGTGCCTCCAACACCGCTCTGTGCAGTGGGGTTCCTAGTCACTAAACTAGCTAGTTTTAAAAAGGAAGGCTGTATTTTGTTCACCACAGCCATGCAAAATTCAACAGGGATATACAGTAGCTCTCTCACACACATGGCTACTTGTCAATGTGTATTGTGTATGTTTCCCTGTTTCGAATCAATAGGAATGCAAAGCAATTTGGTTTTGATTGATTTTATAATTGTTTGTTGCCCAGTCACTTGTTGCAGGTGGATAGCCATATGAATTGATAGCTAGATAGACTTGGCAGCATGTGTGTGTGTGTGTGTATAGACACACACACACACACACACACACACACACACACACACACACACACGTATATATATATATACATAGGTATTTTTCAAAATTTGGATTGCTAACAAAGAATTAAGGGAGAACTGGAATAGCCATTTCGAACTTTTTAGTTCTTTTCAACCAGACATACCCTTCTTAGATTCGAACCTGGGCTGTCTGCATGTTAGGCAGATGTATTAACCTCTAGACCACAGGCTCTTTCTCACTTTGTCAGCTATGAGATTCCTTTCTCCCATATTTGGGCCGACAGGGTGCACCAAACTCAAGATAATACATAGGTATGTATATATAACACACACATACACACATTGCCAAGGATAATTTGTTGGGACGGGCAACTATAGAAGTCAACCCAACCCAACCCAACTCAATTCAACTCAGTTCAACTCTATCAATAAAATCATCCATTTCAAAACTCAGCTATGCCCCCACCCACCCATGAGTAGGCACTTCAACTAGGAATTCAAACTATCTTCCTTTCCAAGAATGTAGATGAGCAACGTGTACCTCCAAGAACTGTAGCCTTCCAAAATCACTTGGGGGGCTTGCAATCTTGAACACCTTCTTAGGTATAACCCACGTTTCTAAGGTCTCCAATTTACTGGCAGCCAAATTGGTCGTGTGATGTTTGATGAGGAAGCCCTGAAAATGATCAGCGAGAAAGTAGAGGTGGACTGATACTGGATGTCCCACTGGGTAGTATCTGGGGAAAAAACAAGGGATCGACACTCATTAAAACCATAATTGAGAAACAGAGGATCAGCTGCAGAAAGAACTTTTAGGATCAGAAAAAGCAAAATTCCTGGGCTACCTTTCTTTGGATTTAATGCAAGATAGAGACACGGAGGACACAGAGGATTGATAGAGAGATGAAGGACCAATAGAAGACCGGATGTTTGGTGAACAAGCAAAGCCAAGAATATCACAGACGGTCATTACATTTCAGGGAATTTCTCCTCTCTTCTTTTCAAAAGTCATTCTCTTTCATCTCTCTGCCCAAGGATTGGGAGAGGAAACAAGTGCTCCGGCTGAATTTTTCTACCCAGCCCTAGCAAAAACCATTCCCAATAAGTGATTATGGAAATTGGTATATCACATACTCCTCCTACAGATTGGACTTTAATGGAGAGAAAAGTCAATGAAGCAAAAAACTCTACACTTGACACAAAACGGAGAAGAAAATATGGACAGCTCATTTTCTATCCCTAGCATCTTGGACCATCTTCTAGAATGGGGGTCCTCAACCTTGGCAACTTTAAGACTTGTGGACTTCAACTCCCAGAATTCCTCAGCTGGCAAAGCCGGCTGAGGAATTCTGGGAATTGAAGTCCACAAGTCTTAAAGTTGCTAAGGTTGAGGACCCCTGTTCTAGAAACATGTAACAACCTGGCCTTCAAGAGTTGGTGTGGGATCATGCTTAGGATGGCACCAATGGGCAATACTTGAAGGAAGATGTTAGGACTTGTAGTTCACCAATATCTAGAGATCCCAGCTTCTCAACACTCTCTAAACAGGGACGCAACCCCTTAGTTGGTGTGGCGATTTGGAACTGCAGGAAGAGGAAAGGAAGAGTTGTTAGGTCTTACCGGCAACTGTTTTCGCCATCCATATGGAAGGACGTTTCTGCTTTCTTCAGGCCCAAACGGGAAAAAGAGTGGTAGAGAGTCAATGCAACATCACTAATGCTGTGGATCCCATCTGGTTCATCGTACACATTCTCCCAGTAGGACCGAAGACCTGGGGTACCAGAAGGATAGTTACCATAGAGGTAATAATCCAACTGAGAGATGACTTCCTGATTGACGACCGCCTCAAACTTGCGTGCAAAGAAGGTTGGTCTTGCCGTTTGCTGTGGGGAGGAACGGGTTTCAGAAAGAAAAATGAGATCGGAGTTCTTGAATTCAAGGCTTTGATTTCAGAGTGCAAATCCTTCACTGTTGGCCAAGCTGGCCTGGGAGCTGATGGGAGTCTAAAACCCCAAACATCTGGAAAACATCAGGTTGCTTAATCCTGAGCTGTTTCTTCCATGCTAGCAAATCAAATTCTTGAAAATACATCAGAGCTGGTCTCTTATATGGAAAGTTCGTCTCTTCCCAAAGAAATTTATTGACTCTCCCCAACAATGGATTTCAAGTAGACCTTGGAAAAAAAATGACTCCTGTTTAATGAGATACTGTTTTCTGGGTTGTTTGGAAACTGATTCACATTATCATATTTTAATTCAGGAATGTCTTTCTCCTATATTTTAGTTTTAAGGATCATTAAGACTGTCCTTCAACGTACCAGATGTATTGATTCATTTATTTACATTTATATATTTTATCTCTTGAGAGACCTCATGGAAATACATATAAGGATCTTCCAGCATTAATAACCCTGTGAGGGTCTTTGGGCTAAGCAACAGCCTTAAGTCAGTCAATGTTTCTACAGCTGAAGGTGGATTTGAAATCTGGTCTATCATTTTACCCAAGTCGATATAATACGATTGAAATGTAACCATCAAACTACCAGAAACAGAACGAATGTCCTTTACTCTTTTCATTTTCAACTTAAATTTCATTCAGTTTTCATTTTGGTGAAAACCTTCTTAATAAAAATTATATATTTGGGGGTGACTGATGGGAGGGAAGGAAAGAAGGAAGGAAGGAAGGAAGGAAGAAGAGAAGGGGATGGATGGAAGGAAGGAGAGGAGAAAGAAAGGGAGAAGGGGGATGGACGGAAGGAAGGAAGGAGAGAAGGGAGAAAGAAAGGGAGAAGGGTGATGGACAGAAGGAAGAAGAGAGAAGGAAGGGCAGAAGGAAGGGGAGAAGAGTGACTGACAGGAAGGAAGAAAGGAAGGAAGGAGAGAAGGAGAAGGACTGACAGGAGGGAGGGAGGGAGGAAGGAAGGAAGGAAGGAAGACAGATCTGCCCTTATAGTCCTGTGAAGGAGGAACTCACCTGGAACCGGTGAAAATCCGATGGCTTAAAATCATTGGGGGAACAGCCACACCAATCCACAATATTCTTGTACTGACATTTGCACCCCAGCTTTCTGTTCCAGTTTGTGATACGCAGGTTGTTGTCCACCATGGAGTCACAATGAAGACTGTTTTCCAAGACAGTGTGGAAGAAAGACTGTGGGGAAAAAAAACAACCCAGAGTTTAGACAGTAAGCATGGAAATTCAATAGGGAATTGAAAGATTCATTTAACAATCACGCTTATAACTTAACAACTGCAGTGGTTCACTGAACTGTAGTGAGAAAGGTTGTAAAACAGGGCAAAACTTTTAACAACTAACTGTCTTGTTTAGCAACAGAAAATTGGGGCTCAATTGTGATCGTAAATAATAATAATAATAATAATAATAATAATAATAATAATAATAATAATAATAATAATAGTAGTAGTAGTAGTAGTAGTAGTAGTAGTAGTAGTAGTAGTAGCAGCAGCAGCAGCAGCAGCAGCAGCAAACAGACAAGCACCTGCAACGTAACACCCCGGACTTAACAATTGTTGATAAGAAAGACAAAAAAGTCTGGATAGTGGACATGGCAGTGCAGAATAGACGAGAAAGAACTGGAGAAGATAACAAAATACAAAGACCTACAAATAGAAATAGAAAGACTGTGGCAAAGGCAAGCAAGGGTAGTACCAATGGTCATAGGCGCCTTGGGTGCAATCCCAAAACAACTGGAGCACCACTTGAACACCATCATCGGCATTGACAAATTCGCCACTAGTCAATTGCAAAAGGCGGCCTTACTAGGAACCGCTTCCATCCTGCGACGAGATCTGTAATACGATCAAACATCCACATCTGCCTATCCCAGGTCCTTGGGAAGGACTCGATAGGTAGACAAAAATGCCAAATCCAGTTTGAACATCTGGCTGACTATGCGATGATCAATAAATAATAATAATAATAATAATAATAATAATAATAATAATAATAATAATAATAATAATAATAATAATAATAATAATAATAATAATAATAATAATAATAATTTTGAATGTTCAGTTGTCTGAGCACGTCCAATGAATAATAATAAAGTTGGAAGGGACCTTGGAGGTCATCTAGTCCAACCCCCTGCTCAGGCAGGAAACCCTACACCATTTCAGACCCTATATACCATTTCAAGTCAAGGACTACCTGTAACTGTGCAGAGAAGACGAGTAGCAAAGCCTAGACTGAGTTTTTCAAACTTGTTTGGGTTTTAAAAACATTTGACCTCTCCCCAAGGACTTTGTCCACTCCCCCCCACCCCCAACTGGTCCTCGCCTGGAGGTCCCTGACTTTAAGTTTGAGGACTCATCTATCAGGGCTTTCAAAAGCCGATGCAATGCATTTGAGAAAGAACTGACTCTTGGGGGAGAAACTAAAAGACGACAAGATGAACACCAAAATATTGAACCGAACTGTGGAATCCCTTATACCAGTGACGGCGAACCTTTTAGAGACCGAGTGCCCAAACTGCAACCCAAAACCCACTTATGCATCGTTGGTGCCGGGTGGGTGTGGCCCATTGGGTGGGCGTGGCTGCGGTGGTAAGGGCAGACTGGGTGGGACGAAAAAGTTCAATCAATCAATTCCAACTTTGCAAGATCTTTTTTGGAAGTTGAAATTGACTGATTGATTGAACTTTTTTTTTTTTTTTGCACACCGCGGCAGAGACCTAAAGCGAAAAGGTTTTATAAAACCCAGCTGAAGGCCTAGGACTGGGGTGACGGCACGCGTGCCCATAGAGAGGGCTCTGAGTGCCGCCTCTGGCACCCGTGCCATAGGTTCGCCACCACTGACCTATACCGTCTCAGACAAGTGACTGTCCAGTCTCTTCTTAAAAACCTCCAGTGATGGAGCACCCACGATTTCTGGAGGCAAGCTGTTCCACTGGTTAATCACTGTCAGGAAGTTTCTCCTTAATTCCAGGTTGCTTCTCTCTTTGATCAGTTTCCATCCGTTGCTTCTTGTCCTGCCTTCTGGTGCTTTGGAGAGTAAGTTGACCCTCTCCTCTTCTTTGTGGCATCTCCTTAATATCTAACTCTGCTATCATATTACCCGCTAGTCCAGCTGAAGGCCTAGGACTGGGGCGACGGCGCGCGTGCCCACAGAGAGGGCTCTGAGTGCCGCCTCTGGCACCCGTGCCATAGGTTCGCCACCACGGCCCTATACTAAAATAGAAAAATAAAATAAAATATTCCACTCTAGCTCAGGAGCGTTACAGCAGCTTTGAACCCTGAAGTTTGAAATAAGCTCTGGGATCTTGACGCTAAAAAGGAGCAGGGGATGCGGGTTTGAGTGCTTTTGCTCCTTTCCTCTCCCCTCGGCTACACTCAAGGGTTTGCTTCTGTGGATTCAGTTTCCCCAAGCCTTGCGGCGGGCCAGACTAGTCTGCGAACACCATCCTTTTCAAGGGATGTTCTAAAAACAAACCAACACCCGATTAAAAAAAAAACACCCCCGAACTGCAAAATCAAACAAAAGCAAAACATCGACTAACACCGTGGCTGCTTTGCTTGGAAGCGCTAATATGTTTATAATGATCTCATGCTGAATTATGCCACTTGCCCCTCACCCCCCACCCCCTTCGCAAGGACAAGCTGTCTCCTGCAATTATTTCCAAAACGCTTACGCCATTATTTGCTGTCGGAAGGCAGGAACTCTGATCTGGAAGGGAAGCTGGGTTTTTTCTCTCTTCCTTTCCTTTTCGCTGCAAATTTCAACCTTTTGGAAGTCCCGGGCAGCCAGGCTGCCCCACAGATAAGGTACAGTGGGCCTTTGCACGTTGGAGAGTAGAAGGAGGAAGAGGAGTAGAAGGAGGAAGAGAAGGACGAGGAAGAGGAGGAGGAGAAAGAAGAGACGAAGAAGAACAACCTGCCTCCAGAAGCGGTGAATGCTCCAACATTGGAAGTTTTAAAGAAGAGATTGGACAACCATTTGTCTGAAATGGTATAGGGTCTCCTGCCTGAGCAGGGGGTTGGACTAGATGACCTCCAAGGTCCCTTCCAACAACAACAACAACAACTTCTTCTTCTTCTTCTTCTTCTTCTTCTTCTTCTTCTTCTTCTTCTTCTTCTTCTTCTTCTTCTTCTTCTTCTTCTTCTTCTTCTTCTTCTTCTTCTTTATATTATTATTATTATTATTATTATTATTATTATTATTATTATTATTATTATTATTATTATTATTATTATTATTATAAGGAGGAGGAGGAGGAGGAGGAGGAGGAGAAGGAAGAGAGGAAAAGTGGAGAAAGAAGAGAAAGAGGAAAAAGAAGAGAAGGAGGAAAAGGAAGAGGAGGAGGAGGAGGAGGAGGAGGAAGAAACACATCAGCACACACTTTCCCAAAGACAAAAGGGTCCATGGATTGTCAAAACAATAAAAGAGAATAAATGAGAGGTCCTTGGTGCTCCTTAGGCCTGCTTGTTTTCTTGCAGACGTTTCATGATCCAACTAGGTAGCATCATCAGTACTAGCTGATGATGCTACCTAGTTGGGTCATGAAACGTCTGCAAGAAAACCACCAAGCTCAGAGCGCACCAAGGACCCCACGGTTCTCCTCCTCCTCCTTCTCTTTCTCTCCTTCCTCCTCTTTGCAAACCCTACTCCCTTCTAGCACTGATGATGCCACTTAGTTTGGTAATGAAACGTCTGCAAGAAAACCACCAAGCTCAGAGAGCACCAAGGACCCCACAGTTGAACCCTGAGCTGCAAATATATTTTTTTCTACTGACTGCCAATACTATCACGTTTACAATATGTTTACAACCTGTAAACAAAAGATCGGACAGCTTCAAAGAAGACTACGGCCACAGCATCGGAAGACGTGATTCAGGGTATGGAATCTTGCTGATGGCATTCTTGTCGAGAGGTTAACTCACCTCAGCAGGGAGCAGAGTAAAGGAATAGAAGCGTTTCATCTTGGTCACCAGGTCGTCAGTTGAAAACGTGATGTATTCGACAAACTTCCTGTTCAGCAGGAACCAATCGGAACCGCCATCCACAGTGATTCCTTCTGGAATTTTCCGGTCCCCGAGTCTCCACATGTGGGTATCACATTCCAGGAACAACCTATCCAGGCCTTGTTTTCTAATAAATCTGGACAACAGAAGAAGAAAAACAAAGATTAAGTCATTCCTTTTGAGGTGTATCTTACCCTGAAAGGAAGCGAAAAGAAAATGTGAAATAAGATAAACAGGGATAAAGCCATCAGACCAAGGTCAACCAAAAACATTTTGCTTCCTTGAACGAACAAGATGGTGCCCTTCCCGTTTCTTTATTTAAAAAAAAAAATCTCATCTCCAAATGGTGTCAATCCCCTGAGCAGTAGAATTTTGCTCTTGACTAGAGAATTATGGCCCCACTTGAGAGTTATTGTGAATTTATTTTGTGCTGGTTAATGTTGGGTTAAGGCTTGTAACCTCAGATGTTCATTTCTTGCTGTACAATTGCGGTTTTTTTAACGCGTGTACATTGCCCACCTTTGCGAGATAGGCGGTCATGTAAAATGGTTTAAATAAAAATAAGTTTAAAGGCATGGATTGAAAAGTTCAACTAATGGAGAGTCTTCCAAGCTGCAGTGTCAATACATTTTAAAACAGGTTTCCAGTGGGGGGGGGGAAAGGATATAAGCTAGGAAAGATGGCTTACCAACAACAAAAAGAAGAACATGAATGAATAGGAATGGCTGGGCTATGAAACAGACTGAGAGAAGAAAGAACTTTGCTTAATAGTGAGATGAGTGGAACAAACGTTTAATAAACAACTTTACAAAGAAAGAGCGACAGATTCACCTAATGTTCTCAATTTTTAAAAGCTTTAAGAAATAGAATGACTGTGGCAAAAGAAAGCAAAGATAGTACCAATTGTAATAGGCACCTGGAGTGCAATCCCAACTGGAGCACCCCTCGAAACACTCTTGGCATTGACAAAATCTCCATCGGTCAATTGCAAAAGGCAGCTTTATAAAACAGCCTTCATCCCGCGACGATAACTTTAACACCATCGAACAACAACATCTGCCTCTCCCAGGTCCTGGGGAAGGACTCAGTAAATAGATAAAACTGCCAAATCCAGTCTGAACATCTGACTGAACGTGCAACAAACTGTAATAATAATAATAATAGAGTATGATATTAGAGTTACAGTAAGTTTATACTTGTTTATATTAGGAATGGGTTGCTTGGGTTAGACTTGGATATTATGTGATTATTCCTGTACTCAGTTCTGGGAAGTCTGGGGGGGGGAGGGGAGAAGGGGATTAGGGGATAGAAATTATAAAAATTGATGTATTTATATATTATAGGTAAATAATGGAATTGTATTAAAAAGAGGAGATGCTCGGCTGGTACCCCAAACTGCACTTGAAGAGGTGGTTAAGAAGGGAGATGGGATGTAGGGAGTTGGAAAGGAGGAAAGAGGAGAGGTTGTGGGTTTAGGAGGAGGAAGGAAGAGGAAAGTGAATGAGGGTGGATGCAAGGCGGGGACTGCAGAGCATCTCCGAAAACGTATTGAGTAGGATTATCTTTTATGCTTGTGTAAGTAAATGCATCATATTTGTATTATTTGTTGTTTAATTTGAAAAATTAATAAAAAATTTATTATTATTATTATTATTATTATTATTATTATTATTATTATTATTATTAATAATAATAATAATAATAGAGTATGGAACAGCGGCATCTACTTTGGGAAGGACTCGATGGGTTGATGAAAATGCCAGATCCAGTCTAAACATCTGGTTGACCAACCATAGTAGTACCAATAGTAATAGGCACCTTGGTGCAATGCCAAAACATCTGGAGCACCACTTGAACATCATCAACATTGACAAAATCACCATCAGTCAATTGCAAAAGGCAGCTTTACCGGGAACAGCTTACATCCTGTGACAAGACCTTTCACACCATCAGACAACATCATCTGCCTATCCCAGGTCCTTGGGAAGGATTTAATAGGTGGCTCAAATCCAGCCAAACCCAGTCCTACACAGCTGGTTGACTGAGCAACGAATCATAATAACTTCCGAAACACTGCTGTTTGAACAATTAACAGCCAGATTGTTATACAGACTTATAAAACCACGGAAATCAGGTAATAAAAAGAACCGCATCATGGATCTAATTAAATCCAACTCAAGGCAGACACTCAAAACCCGTTGGCCCATTAAGGAGATTGAAGAGACAAAAGTGAGTTTTAAAGAAGCGAGTTATTTTTTTTTATTTTAAAAAAAGCATCCTTCAACTGAGACTCTAATTTCCCTTTCAATTACAAAGGACAACGGAAAAGCTTTGCAATTTTAATGCCGAGGTTCTAGAAATCTCCAGATTATTGAGCCAGTTCGATGCAGAATCAAATATTTATAGCAATGAAGGTTTGTATCATTGATTTTTATTTTTTTTGGGGGGGGGAGGAAGAAAAGGGAACCCATTGGGGGATACATTACTTTGAACCCATTATGTTCAGTACATGCATTACTTTCAGGAAGGAGGACATTTCTGTGGCCAAAAAAAAGAAAAGTCCACAGGTTCACCTAATGTTCTCATTCTTGAAGTTAAAAGCTTTAGGAAAGTTTCAGGTTAAGAAGTGTTTAAAAATGCAT